GGTCTTGCCCACTAATCCAACGCAAGCTCTATGGGTCACAAACTTCTTGATGCCGTGGCCTTCTTTGCCAGACAATTCTTCTTGGACACTTATTTGAGACTGAGGAGCACCCATCAAGCCACAGATGTGCTGAAACCTCTGGCTATGATGGCTATCAACACAATTTCCCTCCGCTACCCATGCCTGTCTCTGTCCTATTGTTGTTTCCTGCCCAATCAGCTTTGTGAGCCAGGGGCCACCTTTATGATCTGCACCTAACACAGCTTTACCAAAAAAGAGTCAAGGCCCACATTAGAGGTCAGAGGCCTCATCATTGTCATCAAAAACTGTTTTACAACCTAAGAATTTCACCTTCTAATGATTATGAGTCTCCCTTTAACTTTCCCCATTCCCACTGTCTTCCAGTTTCTAGGGAACACTCCAGTTCGGTTTCTCACTATTTTCTTGCTATCCTTTTAACCTCACTATCATCCACACATATGAGCACAGTGCAGGGAGGTTCTTTTTCTCCTTTAATTTTCTATATATATGCACTTGAGTCAGAAAACACTCTAAGAATCTCCTTGGACTGTAGTCAAACTAAATAGAAACACAAATAATAACCAACAAAGTTACTACTAGTTGGTCAGGTCTTGACTAGCTTCACATGTCCCTTAATGTCACCCTGACTTCCTTCCATTCGACCTTTTCGCCATTATTACACCTACTGACTATTTTCACATATAATGCACAACTTTTTTTTTCTAAAATTCAGCTGCTGGCAATTGGGGCGTGCATTATAATCGAGGAAATATGGTAACAACAGCTTCTGCTACTTCAACCTCTGCCAGAAGAACAGGTAAGTAAAGCTGCACCCGCTGCATTCAGGACTGTCTAGCTACTCTCTCTCTCAGCCCTTTCTCCCAGAAAAGGCTCTCCAGGACATATCTTCTTTCTTCATCCTGCCTTTCAAAAATAAGGTCCATGTTTTATTATGGGTTATGTTGTATATAAGAAAATACAGCATACTCTCTGTACCACCCTCAATAATGCATCCGTGTTTTCATAAGTCACTAGTTAATTAGCTTGTATAGGCCCCAGTTCTAATTGGATTTGATTTTAATCCTATGCACATGTTTAGAACCCCAGTTTTGGATTAAGAAAAGAAAAGAAAAGAAGTGTCAGAGACCAGAACAGATTCAACAAGTCATTTCAACCTGGAAAAATTATCTAGCTCCTGGAGCTTTGCAGCAATCAAGTAAATAGAGTTTTGATCAGAAGATGGAGACAATATTAGCTAGATAGCCATAAATAGAGGTATGCAACAAAGCTATCATACAGGGGCCTTTTTACAAGCAATTTTTACAGTCAGTAATTGAATAGCAATTTTGCTCTGAATCAATCCATAACAAGCTAGGTGAAATGTCTAGACAGATTTAATCCAGGTAATAACAAGTTCATATGACAGAGGGAGCTGGACTTTATTTAACAGGGGTGCAGTTTGGGTATAATAATAGTCAGAGAGAATGACACACTGATTACATTTCTCAGATATAGCCAGGAGGTTCCCAGGCTTCTGTGGACCACATCTTCTTAGGAATCTGCCAACATTATTGTTGGTATTATTTCCATGAAGAGAGAGAACAGCTAGTTTATTAGCAAGGCACATATGCCTCCCCCTTAGAAAGCTGAGGCACAGAGGTTAAATGAATTGCCCAGGGCCACAGAGGTATTTGAGTGGCAGTGGCAGAAGTGGCATCTCCATCTATAGACTCAGAGTCCTGTGACCACGAGACCATATTTCTTCCCCTTTCTCACATGCCTGGAGACTGAGCAGAAAGACATCTGCACTTCAATTTACTGCCACCACCCATACTTCTTCATTCAGTCCTAATTAGAGCTGTGTGAGAAATCAGAATTTCTGTTTTGTGGGAAATTGTAGTATTTCAAGATTTCTCCTTCAGCCAAACGAGGACAAAGCTGTCCTTATTTAAATATCCTTGGTATCCTTATTTAAATAGCCTTATTTAAATGTCCTTATTTAAATATGCTTATTAAATATTTTTCTGGATGGATAAGAGTTTTACATTTTCCTTTCAGAAATGCTAACATGCTCCCTTTTGAATCAGGTCTCCATTAAATCGCATCTACCTGAGCTTCTCTGGTATCTCATGGGAGCTGGAATTGGGCCACATCATTGTCCCTTCTTGGGATCACAGACTGCATAACATCTCCCTAGAGGTACAGCAATAATGAGACTCCCAGGAAATATTGAGACTCCCAGGGAATATTGCTGTAGCAACATCAGTGAGGACACTGAAATGCATCGTCATGGAAGAGGTGATCTGATCAAGACTCTGGCCCATCAGGAGTGAAGTTATGATGCACCCAAACTACAACTCCAAAAAGACATCAGGGGAGCTAACACATGTCCAGATTTGTGCTAAAATAACTCATTTTCCTGAAACTCCATACTGAAGGGGGGGAAAAAACCCCACACACATGGATGTGGATTTGATTAAATATTCCTGGCCAGTCCCAGACACAATCTGATGAGCCTAACAACTGAGGAGGGGATACAAAGGTAAGTTGTTCAGCCCCGTAGTCCAGGTGGGTTTAACACACACCAAGTCAACATCAGTGCATTAGGCAGCAAAGAAAAACAGAACGAGAGGCCCTCACAGATGCAGTCATGCAAAGTGGAGTTGCCAGGGGAAGAAAGACAGAGACAGACGATGGTAGCACAAGGCACAGCCCAGTGAACAGAACAGAAGACAGGGAGAGTGGTATATAGGTAAAGGATTAAACAGTGGATGAACATTTGAAAAGTGCTTTCAATATAAGCTCTGTGGAAAGCTGGGTAATATTGTTGAAAGGGAGAAACACCACAGACAGGGCAGCATTACAATAATCACATAGGGGAATAAAAGGGACACTTACAGTACTCCACAGCCCTTAAAAGGTTCTCAGAAAATCTGCCTTCCATGTGGTATTAAATAAGAAGAGGTTTAGAGATACAGCAATACGCGCACAGATTGCAACTGTCTGCACGGAGGAAATGGGCACATCCTACAGTGCACCAATAATTCAAACCCATTATTTGGGGAAATCTTAAAAGCCCATATGTGTTGGCGGCTATTACTGAACCTGGCAATTAGGGCTTGACAGTACTCTGTTTTGTAGGATGGAATAGTAGGCTGCAGACGGGGCTGCTAAAGTGGACTATGACAATGAGCTACATGGGAGCAAATTATACCTTGGGAGCACAGGATTAGTGCCAAGAGCTAATGCAAAAGGAGGGTAGTTTGCTTTCCATTACTTTGCTCATTACCGCTCCCCTGTGCCTCCTTCCAAACCTTTCCCCTTCTCCCCATGAGGCCTCTATTTCAAGGGCTGGGAGTTGTTTTAACCCTCCCCCCTCATACTTCTTACCATGCACATGTGACGCAATCAATCAGATTGTGCAATACATAACCAAAATGTGGGATGCCTGTGGTTTGTTGTGCTTAACTGGTGTGTTATAATAGTGGGTTTTCTATAAATAAATAAATAAATACAAATTATTGTAAAGCTGTTTTTAAGGATGTTTTCTCACTATGAATTTTCCAAAAATGGGATTTGCAAGAAAAACTGGAGAGAAAAATTGCATCAGAGGAAACAAGGAATATGCTCCATATTGGGCATAACCAGGATTGCAACCTTGTCTTTGCAGACAAGCAGAGCAGACTGTTGTGATATAGGCAATTCTGTACTCTATGGGCATGTCCCCATGAGCAGGAATATGCATTTCTCCGGGCGCAAATAGCAGCAGCACATATCTGTGCCACTGCTAGCTGTCCCTGGGCATGTCCCTACATGCATGCTCTGGCACATGGCAGATTGCCCTGAGTGGGGTAGGGAAGGTTGGGGCCAGCACCTGGGCTGGCCCCAGCAGCCTTACCTGGAGTCCTAGGGGTCTCCCAGAGATAAAGTGGTGGCCACCTGGGCACGTGGAGCCTGGCCAGCAGCCAGAGTATGGCTCTGGCCAGCCAGGCTCGAGTTTCAGACAGCACATTGCAGCCACATGTGTCGTCCTGCTTTTTTCTGCACATGGATCTCCTGATGTCAAAAAAACTGTTGCGCTCCAGACCTATGCCTGTGCGGTGCACGTGGTTTGCAGCACCGCAAACTGCACATGCATGCTCATGGGGCTGCACCCTATAAGTATAACTAAAAGTATAGCTCTTTACCCCAGCCATCTCTTTTAGCATCCCTGTCGAACAGTTGTAGTACCTCAGTCACTACAGGGGGACTTAACGGCTCCGTACAAACAGTCAAAAAGCCCGAGGCTGAATTGATTCAATCTTCACAGGTTGAACCAATAAGCAAGTGAACACACAATCACTTTTGAGTCCAGAAATGCAGCCACATGCCTGCAGTGGCTCAGGCCAGAAGCCAGGGGGCTCTAGACCACACCTCCCTGCTACGCTGGAGCAGACAGTTTGAGCCAAGGCTAGCCTGCCCACCCTGTGATGTGGGGTTTGCAGGAGAAGTGTAAAGCATCCTAGGATGCTGGGGGACTGTCAGTTAACTTGAATCTGCAGGGGATCTGGAACAAAAGTTAAACAAACCAATTTAACCTAAATAAGTTAAGTTGGATACTACATCACAGAAAATTAGGGTTGGAAGAGACCTCAGGAGGTCACATCTAGTCCAACAACCTGCTCAAAGCAGGACCAGCCCCAACTAAATCATCCCAGCTAAGGCTTTCTCTAGCTGGGTCTTAAAAACTTCCAAGGATGGAGATTCCACCACCTCCCTGGGTAACTTGTTCCAGTGTTTTACTACCCTCCTAGTGAGAAAGTTTTTCCTAATATCTAACCTAAATTTCCCTTGCTGGCTGCAGCTTGAGACCATTTCTCCTTGTTCTGTGATCTGCCACCACTGAGAACAGTCCAGCTCCATCATTTTTCAAACCCCACTTCAGGTAGTTGAAGTCTGCTATTAAATCACCCATCAGCTCTCTCCTCCAGACTAAACCCACTTGCTTCATCCTCTCCTTAGAAGTCGTGTCCCGCAGCCCCCTCACCATTTTCACTGTCCTCCATTGGACTTTCTCCAATTTGTATCTTTGTATTTTCAGTTAATCCAATGTGCATCTTTTCTGTAGCGGGGGTCCCAAAACTAGATACAATATTCCAGATGTGGCTTCAGCAATGCCGAATATCGGGGAAGAATCACTTCCCCCGATCTGCTGGCAACACTCCTACTAATGCAGACTGGGGTGCTGTTAGCCTTCTTTGCAACAAGGGCACATTGTTGGCTCGTCCATCCAGGTTTATCTTAAACCACTTTTGGCCATTTTGAAAGCATCTTATGTGCACTGAACTTCTGCTGTGTTACAGATTTGAACCAGTTTCCAATCATTTATACCAGTGTATGTGTAATTTCTTTCCCTAGCCTACATGAGCTCTGTCAGTGTTTGGCAAGACAGACAAGAGAGAAGAAAGCCCTGGGATTTTTTCCCAGCTTTGGGAGGGAAGCAAGGTCTGTGTTAGAGCAGAAGCTACAGACAGCGCAGTTGCCAAGCCATTGCTTTGCACATTCATGCTGAGCTGCAGCATGGCTGAGTGAATGCAGCTTGGATCTGCACCATTACCAATGCAAATGTTATTCCCAGCTGTACTGGAAGTGGCCTCACACAACCTCACAAGTTAATTCCTTTCTGAATAAGAGAAATCACAGTTGACTGTATTCTAGGGGAGGGCATGAAATCTTGTTGTATGCTAACAGTTCCAAATGCACAGCAATATAGACAAAAGTAAAGAGAAAGCAGATTAATGCTCAATGTCTACTGGCTCCCAGCTCAGCGCATTTCGCTTTTGGCTTTGGGCAGCAGATTTGGAAGAGGAGACTCTCCCTCTCAGGGACGCAATAGAACAGTTAGTTTAATTCAAGAAAAATTTGGAACATCCTGCAAAATCTGGTACGTGCAAGAGCTTCACTCTACAACAGGATGATTTCACCCTAACTTCTAGGGAATTAGCTTCCACAGTAGCCAAGCAATGAATTCTTATTTGAATACACTCTCCCATAAGAGACCAATCCATATTTGGAATGGGGACAAATTTAGGCATACAAAATACTTCAGTGAGACAGTGCTGAAATTTGGGCAGTAATGGCTTTTGCCAGTGCTCGCAAGATGGTGCTGGTATCGATGCCAAATATTCAGCAGCTTCGTCATATGTGATTTTTTTTCCCTACTGACAAAATGTTCCACAAGGCTGTATTTCAACTTTAATTCCATATGTCACTTCAATTTCTGATAAGAGCTTGGAAATCAAAAAAAGTTATGGGCTGCCTCGATGGACCAGTAAAAAAAGGAGCTTTTCTTTTTACATATCAGTATGTATTAATCTCAGTCATTTGAGACTTGTAATCATTATAGCCCCTTTTATGCGGAACAGGTATTTTCTTTCTAACTATTCTGGAGCTCCTCAGTACAGATGCTCGTTCTCCCTCTATATTTGTGCGTGGCAGGTGCTTCCATAGCGACAGTTTACAATCCTACATAATGATGGAGAAATTAAGAGGTTTTGTCCAACCCCATTTCTTACTTCCTGCCCCCTACTCCTTTTAATGGTGAGTGCTATCTTCAGCTCCAAAGGAACATTACCAGGATATGTCATAGATCAGGACTAGAAGGGCCTGTTAAGATCATTTGCTCTGACCTCCTTCAGCAAATTTCACCCCGCTCTCCTGTCCTGAGCCCAGCCACTTGTGTTTAGCTAACAGGCACCTTCCAGGAAGCCATACAGCTGAGATTTGAAGACATCAATATTTTTATTTATTTGGGGTTTTTACTTCCTTTTTCCCAGTTTCTCCCAGAGAAATCGATCAGCCCTTTCTATGGCAAACACGAGAAAGAAGGATGAGAGTTTTTATAAATCCCGTTGATACTGAAGTAAAAACAAAAGCCAAGGCAGCTTTATTGATTTAAACATTACAACAACATCTGCTTCTTGTGCGTGTGCATTGTCCCAGAAGTGATAATGTTGCCTTTTTTTAATTCAATATTGAACCCTTGAGTATCACCACCAGCTCTCCACCTATTTTCCATGGTGACTACAAAAGATTAGCAGTAACATATCTAATTAGTACAGAGAGACACAAAAATCAATGACAAGAGTGTAATGCTGCTGGCTCCTGTTGAAAAGAACAGAAGTTCATGGTCACTGAGGACAACTTAGCCCAAAGGGTAAAGTTAGGCATTTGCAGAAAAACAAAAAGAAAGGCATTTGCCATATTTCAAAGCAGTGGCAATGAATAGGGGGTGCACATGCACCGCCTGACCAGCTGCACTTGCTGCTTAGGCGATGGGCAGGCGGGAGTGCCGGTGCCCCCCCTGCAAGCGCCGGCTGGGGAGTGGGAGTGCCATGCCCCCCTTGCAAGCACCACAACCACTTCCAGAAGCAGCTGCAATGACCAACCGCCTTGCGATCGGAGTCCCCCCACCACCTACACCGGTCAGTGGAATCGACAACCCCCCCCCGCTGCTTACTGGTAACTGTGGGGGCATGTGCCTCCCTGGCTAAGGCAGCACCGGTCACCCATGTTTTAAAGCCTATCTTTCAGTCTTGCAACAGGAGAAATGTAAAGGCCACAATATGGCCCACGTAGAAGTCATCCGTCTGATTTTGTGCAAAGTAAATTGGTATGTTCAGCCACCCCTGTTTCAGACGCTGTTGATGATATCTATAGCGGTGGTGCCCACAGAAGAAACTGAAATGAACAGGGAATGGCAGCACCTCTCAGTCTGGAGTAAATACAGGGTTTTGGAAGCCCTGAGATTGGGACCACATAATTCCCTCCTTCACCTCATTCGTTCCTTACATCTGTTTAATGACCACGGGGGTCAGTTGTGTGTTACATTCTGTCCTGCACGTCAGCCTATAATTTTTCTAGACACCTGCTATATCACTGTTATGCCATTTACCCATTCCCCTCATGGTCTGCCAGTCCCTACCACAGTGAATAGCACATTGGCAGGTGTAATGTCCTGCACTGAGCAAATGAAGCCAAACAGCTGGAGGTTTCTCTTCATTGCCACATCAGCGACCATCTCTGTTGCTCAAAATCTTTTTTCTCATTGTCTTCTTTCTGACATGCATTCACCACCTGGCCACAAGCAACTGTTTGGAACATCTCCTTCCAGAGGCCAGCAGTCTTTGTGCATCAGTCTTCTCACAATCCAGAGTCAGAGAGCAGGATCCAGAACATGCATGGTCTTGAGCAGCCTGATTTTCATTGCTAGGGAGGTATCTGTCACTTCCTATCAGGTTTATGGTGCCCAAGGCTGTCTGTCCATGCAGGTTTCTGAGATCAGACTAAAACTAATATGATGGCAAGGCTGCCCACATTGTCCACTCTCCTGCTGCTCCCTTTTGAGTCTGCAGAGCTGTCTTATATACGACCGTTGTTTTTGTCTTGTCCACATTAACATGGCCAGTCCCTTTAGAGCAAGGTTCAGCAAAATACAGCCCGTGGGCTGGATCTGGCCTGCCAGGCCATTCTACCCAGCCCATGGGGGCCATCCAGAAAACAATTATTACCAGCCCGCAGCTACCCTTTTAAAGCCAGCAGGAAGTGGGCTTTCAGAGGGCACGTGCCACTGGACTGGGCAGGATCCATGCTTCCACCTCCATGGGGCTCTCGGCACTCCAGCTTTATGTGGATGCACTGAGTGGGAGGGTGCACAACTGACCGGCTGGTAAGTGGGGAGAGGAGCTCCTGCTTGCAGGATAGTGGGGGTGGCGGTGTGTGTGAGTAGTTGCGGGGTGTGTGGGTTGCCATGGGTCCCCCTGCCACATGCTCCCCCCCCCACAACACACAGCCCCAGCTGCAGATGGCAGGCTCTTGGGCCATGGCAGGCAGAGCCCCACAGTGGCACGTGGCTCTGGCTGAATCCCAGGAGCTGCACGTGGTGGCACAGAGCCGTTCACAGCACCGCAGGCAGGAGCTGCGTGCCATCTGGGGTGATCACCTTTTTAAAATGTAAAGGCGGGACAACACGCCCACTTCCCACACCCACCCACCAGTGGCATGGCCAGAGAAGAGCTGAGTGGGGTAGGGGGCAGATACAGGTTTCCCGCCCTGCTGCCTTTACCCTGGGAGCCCTGCACCAGCCACACACCCCCTGCCCACTTGGCAGTAGCAGGGGACACAACTCCATGCTGCCACTGCCCCAGCTGCTGCCAGGTGGGTAGGGGAAGCATTGCCATGGCAGGTCAGGACTCCCAGGGGGAGGGCAGCAGGGCAGGGAGCCCTGAGCTTGCAATGAGCAGCTCACATCTGCCCCTGCCCTGCACACAAATCTGGGGGACACGTGCCTCCCCATAATTCCCCAGGGGGTGTGTGCAGCAGCAGGGAGCTGCCCTTATCCATACTCCCAAGATGAGCCACCCATGGCTGTCCCACTCCCCAGCCCCAAGCTCCCATGCACCCCCCATAGGCTTACCTGCAGGCAGTTGCCCTCCACACTATCTAGCTCTTTCCTGGCCACGCGCACCTGTGTGCAGGCACACATGCAGATGGCTCCCCCATGTCCCACTCCTAGAAGCCCCAAGCAGCCCCTTGCAGGCTGGAACACTGCCTGCCTGCAAAGAGGAACCCAAATCCCTGCATGATGCTGCAAATCTGAGACAAATGCTGTCCTAGAGGCATGCAGCCTGGAACTGGGACTTGATGATCCCATTCCAGGCATGTCCCATGCAATATGAGATGGGTGGTTACCCTAGCACAATCAGGTTGGGCTGGCTCCATGCCTTCATGTAGGGCTTCCAGCATGTGCAGCTCCCAGGATTCAGCTGGAGCCACGCACCACTGGGGGGCTCTGCCTGCCATGGCCCATAAGC